TTAAATTTGTCTAGGATGCTGCATGTTTGAGATTGCTGCACATCATCAAGCGTTCAAAGCCACTGTTAGTTCACTTTTACTGTTCGTATTCGGATTAAGCATTTTGCTAAAACGAAATGTCTGAAATCACGAGGCGTGCTGTAACCTTTTTTTTTTCTCCTTTTTCCTTTTTTTATACAACGTTGTTGCTAAAATCCAGAAAATGAATTAATATAGGATATGGCTGGACTCATCAACAAGATTAACCGATCTTTGATCTCTCCACTTCCTATTGTATACTCTTCAACTCTGTAAGCTCTGAAAACACTTATCAAATACACAATTTTCAAATTTACGTTGCTATATATTAAGACTCGCAAAATGACATGAAATAATTATGATAATATCCCAGAAAACAGATCATCAAGAGCATGCTTAGGAAGAGCCCGGAACACAGGCCAACCGTGAGTTTGTCGAACTCCCTTCACTCCTTATCACTTCTTCTTACGTATTTTTTTATATTCTTTTATTTTCTTCTATTTCTTAATCTCACATTCTCACCTTTTGCATATTTATGTGCCAGGCCGCCGAGCTTCTGAGACATCCCCATTTGCAGCCGTTCCTCCTCAAATGCCACAACCCGTCCGCTGTCTTCCTTCCTGTCAAATCGCCCTCCCCGAAAAAATCGAACGAAAAGACCAAAAAGCCTTCCCCAGCCAGCAGCACATCCAGCCCAAGAAAAGACCCGAAAGAAAAGAGAGAGATCATCAAGCTGAAGCACAAGGACTTGCTCCCACTATTCCAAGAAAACACGGACGTTCAGTACCCGAACCTTCTGCTCGACACCGATTTCATGATCAACGAAAAGCTCGAGACGAAGCGTGTGGACCCCACAAGCTATTCCGGGAAAATATCTCACGACAGCGAGGATTCAAAGAGCGGGGCCACCAGTTGTGAGAATTTGGATTTGATGGTGCCTCCTCCAAACGAGCCGCAACAAGAACATGACGAAAAAAAATCAGAGAACAGTACTGCTGACCATGAGAATGTAGAAAAAGGAACGGATAAAAACGAACCTCTGGTCGGGCCCCACTCGACTGAGGAGAAAGTGGAAGCAAAGGTGGAAAAAGCAGCTCCCGAGAATGCTGATGTCACCTTTGTCCAAGAAAACGAGAGATCAACCGAAGAAGAAAATGGAGGTAAAAGTAAAACTGATGGTGCCGAGGAAAATTTACTGGATAATAATGAGGTTACTATTACAACTGGCTTAAGTGGAAATGGGAAAGGAGGAGAAGAAAAGCAGCTGTTGAGCCGAGAGTCGATCGAGGACTCATTGTCTCATCTGCCTGGTTTACAGAGGGCGGATGCTTTGGAGTCGTTGCTCGAGCTTTGCGCAAGGTTGCTTAAACAGGACAAATTTGACGAGCTGTCGGGCGTGCTGAAGCCGTTCGGGGAGGAAATTGTTTCCTCTAGAGAGACAGCAATTTGGCTGACAAAGAGCTTGATCAATGCACAAAAGTTGGAAAAGGAGAAATCATAATTTTTCATGTGTTTTGGACATGATTTGGACCTTTGGGGTTCTGATTATTTATTTTAGGTATGTGTTTGTCTTTTTTTTTTATTATTTTTTTTAAGAGCTTGATTAGTACACAATAGTTGGGTGAGGAGAAATCATGTTTTTTTTTTT